CATCGCTAATTTCAGGCTAATTCAAAACGCGGCTTGTGACGCACGAGTGACGCAATTCTCTTTGACCACAAAGCGCGAACTCATTGGTCAGAAGCATCAGCTCTATGAACACAGAGAGGAGAGGAACTTTAAAAAAAAGTTAAATTGTACAGTAACTCTCGTGTAACAGATCAGTCGCTTAGTCTACGTACGTATAAATAACTAAATACTTCAAATACGACCTCACAAAAATACTGCGAGTCTAACGATACCTGAACAACAATTATTCAGACTTATTACCACGTGCCTGAAATAATACAAAAATCCAAACTCTGACGCATTTGAAAAATAATACTACTGACATACCCGAATAATATAACCTGGTTAAGGATTCGTAACAATATGCCTTGCGATGCTACGCGTACACCTCGTTCTACACGCTACCTACATAAAACACTAGAAAAGTACGTGCAGGTATGGATAAAACAAAATTGAGCAGTTCCTCTGGTAAGGAATCGAGTATATGTATAAGCGAATGCGGCACTATGCGAAAGGGAGCCTAGATACCCAGATACGTCCGTTTCGTTGGAAAGGTTCGCTCACGAAGTGAACGGAACACAGGGATATGCATGGTTTCTTCTCTTTCAGTTCTTCAAGGCTAACCCATCCCACTTACACACTACATACTGCCGTGTCTCGCTCTTCCCCCCCTACCAAACAGCCATTCTCTATCCCTACCCCCTACCCCTTACCCCTGCACCGCAATTCCATCCCTCTTCCTGGCCTTTCTCCTCACTCCCGATCACTCTCTCTCTCTCTCTCTCTCCCTCCCTCACTCTGTCTTTCTTCCTTAACCCTCACTCTCATTCCTCTGCTTCGACCCGCGTTCTCCGCAGTGATGTCATCCATGAAGCGTTTTTGCGATACAGCATGAAGTTCACGCATGAGGAAAAAAAAAGAGACGTCTCTTCCCGTATTTCATATCGCTTGCTTCTTTTTTATATTGTATTTCCAAGGTGCAACCGAACTAGTATGGCGTATCATTACACGAGTGTGTAGCGACTTGAGATGTACGAGCAAATATTTATTGATAAACGAAGTGTGGTATTGCCTTTATGATTTTATTAAAATATTTAGCATAGTGCTATCAGCGAGTTGTACCTGTATACTGTATTAACTATTAAGATGAATGATCGATCGACCTTCAATTTTTAAAATGTACAGATTATGTAACCTTTATTCTTGGCTGGTAGAGTTATCGATAATTATTGTCTTAATGGAGAAGCTTGGTCTTTTTTTATCGTCATTCATAATCGACCCATCAGTTTTACCGTGTTATAGGACCGCACGACAATCCCTTTCGTCACGAGTGTAACGTGTGAATAATGTCGCGGCTCAACTACATTACTCGCGCGAAACGAGCAATTTCCTCATTTTACGGTTCGAACGTACGCAGCTACGGGTTCTACTCGGGTTTGTTCACTTATATTTTCATCTACGTACCGAAACGTTAAGGGTATAAAGATCGTTAGGTCGTATGCTACGTATATCTATATACAGTGGATACGGATGGATATTGATTGGACGAAAGTGAAGCTAGCACGTGATCATCTGGACATGACGAATTACCAGGAGACATCTTAGTCCGATAAGTTATAAATTAAAGTAAATTGTCTGGTAAATGGAATGGCGGGGATCGTGACTTAACGGCAAACGAAAGGTGACTTTCTTCGGTTGTTGCGGGAACAACGGAGCGTGAGATGGGAAAGTTGAAAAAAGGGAAAGGAAAAGCTAGATCGTGTCCAAGAGAAATAATTATTCTTCTATTAACTCCTATCGCAACTTTTCTTGCGTTACGTACGTGGAAAAGGGAATAATATTGTAAAGATGAAGGATATTATCTTGCTGACTTAATCGTATTAAAGTAATGGATGTCGCTATATAGTTTCAGACGACTATATATCACGAGCCATTTACATTGCGTTTTTCCAATTTTTTTTTATTTGCGAAACCCATCTATATACCTCATGGGATTAATGGTTTCTTTTTCAAATATCAATTATATGAGGTAATCATCTTTATCGTACACTGGTACAGCGTATTGTAAAATGTATTTAGATAGTGAAAGTTGAGTAACATTAAACACGTGAAGCGTTAGGAAACAGTAAATCACCGAGAAACAAGGAAATTACGTTTCTTATGATAATAATAATTCAAATGACGCTCCAAAGTGGTCAAGTATTCGCCGAGATAGCAACTCTCTATCAACTGCTGACTCTAGGCGTACCAACCAACATAAACGATAACGCCTGAAGCCAGGTATACACTAGCTACTTCGCTAAACGCATTATAATTAAAGTGATAAAACTTGTTAAGCACGCACTGATGCGTGAATGATATTTATTGAATGTAACAGCGTCATATCCAATTTGTCATTAAGTACTCCCATTTCCAATCTACCATGTCGGAGAACTCTTATCAATCAGTCGAATCCAATTCAATAGTCAATCGAATAGATGTTATTGTCATTACAAGGTAGTTCGATATTTAAATAAAATCAAAAAAGTTTAATAATTAACGCGAGATATTATTTGTCAAGTTTTACGAGTCAATAAACGAATTTCTTTCGAATTGTCATCATCAAATGTATATACGAAGAACAAAGGACAATAGACACAGCGCCGTGTTGCGCAATAAAAATAATGCCATTATCAAGAGACAACGCAGATATATTCGTCTACCAGCTGAATACCATCTACCAATATTCTCTTGTATAATTTCCAAGTTACGGAATTCGTCAGGACAATCGTTGCGTCCACAAGCCGCTGGAAATATTCGGTTTCGGTACGTGACCGCGTGGCAAAGATGGCCGCGAAGCGCTGCCTCGAGAAGATGGCGGGAGCCGGCGTCTCCGTATCCACGCTGCTAACTGCTATATGTCTGTATCTATAGTATATATTCAGTATAAAACACGTACTCGCACGATATCGCAACTATGCAAGTCACATTATATACGTTACGAAAAATCTATTGAACCAACAAGCGTGAACCTCTCAACAGTAAGATACGATACTAACGTAGCTATACGGCTCTTATAACTGTGCGTACGATCAAAGTGGTACAAGGCAAGCGAGTATTTGGCTTCCCTTTCTTCACTTAAGAACGAGTTACGACAGCTTTCCGGCCACAATACTGCCACGCAATTTATTCCTGGACAATCGGGGAAATAGGCTGAAGATACATGTTCGCGAATTCAAACGTGAAATTTGGTATATCGGAAAAATCTAACAATTATTCACCTCAACGTATCTAGTTACTAGCATTTAATGTACATCTATATAAAGAAGAAAAATATTTATTAAGGTGTAAATATATCAATAAATTGTGCTATAATATTAACAGTAATTACCTACAGTGCCAATTACTTAACAATAAAATAATATTACGATTTTTGTATCCAATTGTATCTGTAATTTCATTAGTATTTTCTATTTCCTTCTGGTTATTTTATAGCGACATATTACTGTACGATTGAACTTTCCACAATTCCACTCAAGATTGTATATCTATACAGGTTTTGCTTTGAGTAAGCGTAGAGCAGTGTGCCTGGTATCTGTCGATTACGAAAGTAAGTGGATTTAGAAAGTATAAGCAAGCAAAGTGAACGGTACCAGGTGAGCCGACAAGCTTCAAAGGTGGCACTAAGATCTAGTAAATCGATGAATCGCGAGAGCTTAACCGAGAATTTACAGGGAAAAATATTTAATCTAAAAAGAGATGTATTAAATCATATAACTACGTAAAATCATAGTCTCGTAATTCCGTCAAGTTTATCACTCAGTGACAATAATCATTAAATAATTACAAAACACGTAGATACTGATAATTCGTAAAATGTTACATCGGACATAAGAATATATGATCTATTTATTCGATGAATTTTATGCGAAATAAAATATTAAAAATTTCAATATCACGTTAACTTCATCTCAGTGACAATTCATAGCTTCGCGTACAAGATAATCGTTTTTGGAGACTGGCCAGAACTCGCTGCAGTGTTTTCCATGATCCCAGAGCCCGTAAATGCTTTACAGCTGGGGGACCACGAGTTTCACTGCTGAGCCCGAGTAGCAGACGGTTTTTTTTTAACTGCAACATCCTGCGAACGCGACGCGAAATCTTTTGTCAATTGCGCACCAATTATTCCGGCGAACTCTTGTGTCGTGACGATATGCCGTAGGGCCGATAGGAGAGAGAAAAAGACTGACTGTTACATAAATATAGCCGAGTCCATTTCTCACCCCCACTGACCCAGCGACCGAAAGACGTTGGAAAAGCTTCTCTGGTTCCAGAGGTGCTACCAGCTGCCGGCGTGTAGCTACTGCCTAGCATAATGTTAGATCACACACTAGCCCCAGCTAGAACTGCTAGCCACGGCCCGGTCACGTGATGATTGCGTCACATTTGCCCCACACTACAAGCCCCCAAGTCGCCATCTTTACCCAGTGAGACCAGCGAACACAGACGCGTACTTCTTTTGGTTTTTTGTCCCTTTGAATTTAATTTCTTTTCTTGTAAATTGCTTACTTGACGAGTTCCGTATCGCGATTGATAGTCACGCGGATGAATTCTGGATGATCGACAGAAATGATGAAAATGTTACGTATCTTTTGTCTATCGCGAATTTGCCCGGCACACCTAGCACGAGTTAACACGTATTGCCACATTTACTGTTATACATCGAGACACTTTTTGGAAGTTTTGTATGCATATTGCGGTAACAGCAGTTCAAATTAGTTGCTTAATATATAAAGTAATGATAATTAGAGCAATGTTTGTGAAAATCTAATGTGGTGTGTTCAATAAGGAATTTATAAATGATTATTGTCGGTATATTATATAAATCTGTGAAATTATCGATGGTCGAATTTAAAAAAAAAAAAAATGATCAAATTGCAAGAAGTTGAATCCATGATGAAAGTGTTTAATACATTATGAAGAAAAAAATTATAGTTACCTACCAGTAATATTTTAGGTATATGGGGCACTGTATCAGAATCAAAATTCCATGCACGTTCCGCGAGTTTGGTTTCCGTACAAGAAAGTTGAAAATGATCTTCAGTTGCGTTAAGTTACGTTAGACTTGCACTAAGAAATTTCGTACGCTATGTCCGGCACCAAAAAGATGACTGCGGGAAAAGCCGATGGCAGGACAGCGAGGACGGCTGTGAATCCGCGGAAAACTGATTAATCGGTGACCCAGTTGAAATTCAATATGGCGGCGACCGAGATGCGAACAATGCGGAAGTGCGGTCGCAAGGTTTCTCCACGCGGCACACAAACCAACTGCCAAAATTCCGGTGTACCAGGAAAACTTCACGTTTGGAATTACTGACTTTTTCCCCGCTTTGTATCGTACGCGCCAATAGAAGAGAAGCACTGTCCATCCGTCAAGAATGATTAAATATGATTAATCGTGGATATTCACAGAATCGTAGTGCCTGGCAACGTTGCCATGACGAAGATATGGTCGATGACGGCCATAATTTCCGATAAAGAAAAAAAAAAAGATATAGGCAGATAGTATTCGATTAAATAAAAGGGATCAAAAAGCGTGCGAACAGTCGAGCGGTTGGGCCATCATTCGTGGCGAACAGTTCCTCCGGAGAACTCGGAACACAGAACCGACTTCCAAGGCGGGCTGCGGTGAACGAGGATGTGTTCGTCCGCTTAGCTACCGCCGCTCTCTTGCGACCCCCACCAACGAGGCACCCGATATCGCGCACTCTCACGACAGCCCACTGCGATTGGTTCTTCGTCACTAGTCACTACCGGATTGGCCGAGAGGCTCCACGTGATGACGTACAGCAGCGCTTGTGATGAACATACGGCAACCAGTCGTACCACACGGCGGTCGAACGGGAACTGGTCGTACCACGCGCGGAAACACGCTACTTATGGTGGGAAATGGAGGGGCCCTGAACCGGGAAAATTGACGAGGGTGGGATTTCCGAAGGTAGGGGTTGCGACACGTGGGAGGTCCTCCACAGCCACTCGGTCAACGGCCACCAAATCGTGCGACATGTGCGCACTCCTCGGACTCCGCAAAGCGAGTGCATCCTCCGGAGAAGCTCGCAGAACGCCCACAGCACGTCCTCAGCTCCCTTACCCCTTCTTACAGTTCTCTTCCCCGTCACCGCCTTTCTGATCCTCCTCCACTACCACTATCACCACCTCCTTCTCTTCATCCTTTTTTAGGTGATGCGACTTCCTCCTTCCATCTTCTTTATCTCGTGGACAGACCTACCGACACTCTCACGTTCCAAGAAGTTCACGAATTTTATACTCTCCCCTACATACAAGCAACCTTTGACCCATTTTTCTATCGATTTTCCGTACGTAACTAGAACGCCCGCAATGGCTGCCAACGCGATTTCCGCCACTCCCTACACAAAGGTTTCGTAATGACCTCACACTATGACACTCCTGGACGTTACTCGCACGTATGTACACGCAACTTCCACAAAGACTCATTTTATTATCTTATCGTTATCTTCTAATTCACCCTTTCAAGTTATCAAATAAATTCTACAATTGCAGCTCGCAACCTATTATCAGCCTTCTTGTAAAACTTCCTAAAAAGAATTTCAAACAAAGAAATTCGATCTGCACGAAGCTCGATCCAACGATAAAATACTATGCGGCATAGTAACTCCGCTCACTTTACCCTGTGCATACACTCAACGAGACATAACGTCTTAAAAGACTATAATCATTCGAGAGTTCTCCATGTAATTCCTGGTCAGGAGAACTCAACTAAATATCTCATAATAAAATACGCTGCTCTAGTATACGCTAAACAAGATTATATATCCAACAATTCTTAACGTACATCCTAAAATGACCTCAAGTCTCTCACGCAAGATCGGATGCTGCTTATCATATTACTTTGGTCGTGTGTATCACATGGAAAAAGGTCTTTGACGAACAAGAAACGTCCGGAGTGTTTGCCTCGTACAACCATAGAGAAGCTAGAAGATACGAAGCCTGTGAGGGAGGAGCTCTTGGGACTCCGAGCGCCCTATTTCTACACTCGGCAAAGTTCGGCCGTCGGTCCGATCATGTCCGAAGCACGAGGATATAAGTAGGTCGCCCGGAGCCGCACGTGTCGTCCTTGACTCACATAGCAGCGAGGCGCGCAAGCGCTTTGCGCTGCCGCATTGCCGGTCGCTAGGGCTCTTTCTTTGTTCTTCTTACGTTAGCGTGCGCGAGTACAAACGACTGTCCTCCGCCTTCATACTCTCTCACTACATCACTCGCTCACTCTCACTCGCCACACTCTCCCCTTTACTTCCCGTACACATCCCTCGCACACACTGTATCAAAACTTCCTATCACACGCGTAACGCCAGTTATCCATAACCTTACTAAGCCGAAATACTCCCACGATCTAGTTTCTATTGACACTCTACAAAATTCCCTAGATTTACCCACAACCTTTATATACGTACCATATATAAATTTACATTTTATTAAAGAAAAAAAATTAGCTTTGTTCTTGCATACTCACGTTCTTTGTACGTGGAAGCAGCAATATTAAGCAGTGGGGAAAGGGGGCTTACGCTCTATACCGACCCTGCACGACACAATGCCCAAGCTTGCCCGCATGCCTGTTGAGATATCGTACGTTCTGCCAGAGCGTAAATCATCCGCGTTCGTGCCTGTACGTGCACGCGTACATATACAAGCTCGGTGATAATCGCCACTGAGAGAAAAAGGTCGTCAGGGTATAAGAGTTACTTCCGCGTCCTCCTCTTTTCGCGACCGAGAGAATAACGCGCTTAACTTGGTGTCGGTGAGTGGGTACCGTCGTACGTATCTGAAAGTAGCACTACGTGTGATCAGAGGAAAAATACACAATCCGATAAAGGCGGTTATCCTTTTTATTCTAAGATATTTTCTCCTATAACGTGCGAGATGGCGCTTCTACGGCCCGAACGTTCAAGGACAATGAAATCCGAGCAGGCCGGGCCAACGGTTTCGTTATGAACGAATGCAAGACGCCGAGGCCGGTTTTAGCTTTGTGAGTATTGATCGTGGCAAGAAGTTCGAGGAGGCGCCACTGCGAGCTATTTAAACGCCAATTGGATCAGCCCGAGTCGACGGATAGAAACGCGCATTGCTTGCTTTTATGTAAGTCGTGCTTACAACCTTGCCATTTCTACACAGAACGGGAACGCATTGTAACGTTGTAAAGAGAGCGGAGATTTTACTGGGACTTTAAGAGAGCCGAAGGAATCACTGCGGCTAGTAAAAAATGTAGGTCTTTATGGTGTATTATTAGATAGGGTGGGCGAGCTACGGACACAACGAGTATGCAATGAACGCTTAATTAAAATATACCTACTTGGAAAGTTGGTATGCGTGGAACTTTGAGCGAATGGAAAAGCGAGATGTTACGATTACGAGGGTTTCGACGATAGAATGAAATAATGATCTGACAACGCTGTTGTACGGGACAGACGATAGATATTTTATTTTTGGATAATTAATTGCCTCGCATCACGCTCGTGTTTAGATCCTAGACGTTTGTTTAATTAGCTCTTTAACAATTCATCTTGGCGGGTCAAGGAGGATTTAGCTTTTTTTTCCATTTGTTCCATTGCTTTATATCGTATTGACGTTCTAGTCTGCGATAATTCGAATTAATTTTTTTTTTTACATCTATTATCGTGACAGACTATAAAAGATATACGCTTCGTTCTGACATCACTGTTATACAGAGTGTCGCTTTTAGTAATGGACTTGCTTAAACGTGGCAAATATTTCGATTCGTCAGTACTCGATTGCATCGCAGTCCTTCCTATCGCATTGCAACAACCGACTGCGCATTCGACCCTTGCGACGTCGACGTCGTCTAAGGTCAAAACATGTCTCAAGAGTAGAAAAAGTGTCACAAAGTAACTGCGGAAGAATCTACGACGTATTTCTGTGCCACATGTGTCCTTGTCAAGCGAGTAACAAAAAACAGTTAAGCACCTGATTCATGTTACGAGCAACCAGTCTCTCATTGGTGAATATTCGTGCTCCATTCTGGCGGGAGATTCAAAATAATAAAGATTAAACTCAAGTACAGGTACACCAATAAAGAGAATATTAATTCGAATAGAATTTCTTGTTTGCCAAAACCGAGGCGCTACAGTAATTTTTGTATTTAGCCTAATTTTACTACATATACAAAATTTTAGGTAGCGACAGAGTAGTATGGGTCTCTCAAAAAATTGATGGCGTTAGAGAAATTCCAAAAATATATTTTTATGGGTAGCCTATCTAGCCCCGTCGGGACCCCTCTTGCTCCACTTTCCTTTGCCTATATACTGGATAACTGATACATCGCTGACGTCACTAGTAGGTAATCACACTACCCTCCTATACGTATCCTACAAAATATACATATCCATACACACTCACATATACCCACGGCAGAGCTTTGGTTATACGCAAATATATTTGCTTGCATATGTATATACATGTATATATGATACAGAGTAACTCGTAATCACACAAGTTGATAACAACAGAACGGAAATGGTCTTCCCGTACAGGAAAGGCGTACGTATAATTTATGGTTACAATGCGTAAAGGAATCGGAGATTACGTATGTGATCCGTAGTACGAGAGTAGTTAACGTAGAAGGTAAGAATATGACTAAAGGGAAAAGTGGTATAATACGATAGTTCATAAATGTACCAAAAGTATATAATAAATAGTAAGGAGATTTATGAAGGTAAATAAAAAAATGGATACATAAGAGAAGGAAGAAAAAAATTACTGGTGATCACATAGAAGAGGAAGGGACCTAGAAGAAACTTAAGAAATAAAAGCCTGGCGTAGAAGAAACAATCGTTGTAGACTAGAAGTTAGGCCGACCATATTAGGTACACACACACACACACACACCGGATGCTACGTAATCAAAATGTGGTTTTCTTTCCGGACTCTTAGTGGTCGCACATAAACTTTCCTCTAAGCATACTTTAATTACGTTTTATCGTTCTTAGAGATATTCCGATCTGAGAGATTGGAGGTAGCGAGACGAAGGAGAAACGAACGATCCAAAGTACGTACATACATGTAAGCGCGCGAATATTTGAATTGTTCGAATAAGTTTCAATTACATGACAAGGCTTGTATTATGTTTTTGTACAAGTTTAATAGCCGAGATTTTAATTTGCTGCTCCAGTGGTACCTACTCATCGACCACCTAACCTACAATCAATTCGAAAGTACTTTCTATAGAGATATCATAAATTATCATTATCATCGCTGCGTTAACCTAAAATGATAATCAGACATTCCATTTTGGATTCGACTCAAGATTATTAATATTGTCTGATTGCTTTAGTAACTCCACGTGCTTAGCGATATGTCTTATCTCTGGAAAGTGAAATTACGTAAAGAGTGGTTTTTTACCAGGACTGTACTCACCAGTCAAACAGTGCAGAGTGCCATTCGCTTGTTTAAATTCGAGTGTGGATATCATCGCGAACCGTACGAAAGTTTCTCATGAAAGATTCGGCACTTTCATTCTGTCGTTTGATAATTACATAATAGTCAGGCGATCGCCTTGCTAGAAAGAATCGGACTAGCTAATTCTCCATGACATTTAGAACCATACAATTTAAAATTAACGATCTCCTCCATCAGAATTTGTAGTTAAAGAATTTTTTTCTCATAACTACGGTATACAGTACAAAAGATTCTCGCTCTGTATATAATACTATAGATAAGTATAACAATATAAAGTCACAACGCGACGGAGCACCCCTCAGGTATTAAATTACGAGTTTCCCGAGTACAAGCCAATTGATCTGCCACGTTTTGATCTCTAAGATTCTTTCACTCAAAACGCTACGCATTCGTTGCTCAATGTAGACGCGTCCCCAATTTCGGGAGTGTTCCCACATTAAGCAGAGATGATATTTAAATGATTTATAACATATGATATGTATATATATATTTGATTTTCCTTATCGGTTAGATCGTATGATAAAAGTCTACTAGACATATCGGCCTGTTTTATCGTTAAAGATAAAAAAAGACAGACCAACATACCTTCTAACTGATTCGTACGGATCTGTGACAGCATCTCGAAAATCTTACTGCACCATGCAACAACCAGTTGATTTTGGCTTTCGTCACGAACTGGCTCATAAAGTAACTGCCTCGTAACTGGGCGGCTTGAACAGGACGGAAACCTTTCTGTGCCTCGGAGGAACGGTTCTGCGCAACCGCTGTGTACGATATACATATATGTACATAGATGTATATGGGTAACGTACAGTATACGTAGCCTACGTATAGGGTTTCTGCGTACTGGCAGATTGATAGCAGCAGGTGATGCTGATATCGAAGACCCTTCGCTGTGCAGAAGGAAGAATTTTTAGTTTTTATTATACCCATATGTGTCGAATGAAACTTTTCTACGCCTCTCTCTCTCTCT